TTTCTCTATTACGAAACAATGATCGGCAAATATTCAAAAGTATTCCTTTCTTTGTGACCAGGTGAAATATCTGTTGTACTCTCCGTGTGCGAAGCGCGATGACTTGACCCCCCCCCCACCCTTGGTCCTGTATAGTGTGTAACACTATATTCCAGCGGTTATCTTTTGAAAGAGTATGTGATAGAATACATAACTCTTCTTTTTTTTATTAAAAAGATATTTTAACACCGGTTAACATATTTACATGTACAACTCTACATAAGAAAGTCAATGTGGTTAGATATAGTAAAGTCTATCCAAAGCTGCTCCCCCTAGGTTTCAGACCTAATCTCAGCTGCCCCCCCCCCCCCCGAGGTCTAAGAGCAGACGTCATTTTCCCGGGGTCCGAGGGCAGACCCTCTCCCCAGGTCTCGCAAGACCTACCAACGTTTTATTCTAAAACTATCTTTACATAATGTGCAGTGACATCTGTCACGTGATCTCGGCAGACAATCCTGATTGGTTTTCATATTATATACTATTCAAAAAAAGTAGGGGATATTTGATTTTTAAGTGTTATTAAAGTCACCTAATGAAACTGACGAAGAAACAAATGACAAAATGAAATGAAGTTCACATTCATCGATTTATTCCAAATGATCGTTAGACTAAGTAAGGCACAGACTGACCATTATAAGGGTAAAATGATACCCGGGGTCAAACAGCAAAGTTACCACAGCATCACAACCAAGTCAGTAACGGGTAAATCCTCCTCTGTTTGCCAAACAAGCATTGATCCAACGTGGCATACTCCTAATGAGACGTCTAAGGTCATTTTGGTCCAGATTGTCCCATTCCTGTTGCAACGCAGCAGCAAGTTCTTGGACATTGGCAGGACGTTGTTGACGTTGACGTAACCTCTGTCCAAGCATGTCCCAGACATGCTCGATGGGGGAGAGGTCGGGACTCAGTACTGGCCAAGGTAATGTGGTGATGTTCTGTTGTTGGAGGTAACCTGTAACGATCCTGGCCCTGTGACATCTTGCGTTGTCATCCTGGAAGATGAAACGGCGGCCATGACGTCGTGCGAACGGCACAACATGGACTGCCAAGATGTTGTCCCGGTAGTACTGGCCTGTAACACGCCCTGCAACAACATGTAAAGCCGTTCTTCCAGCAACAGTGATGCCTCCCCACACCATAACAGAACCACCCCCAAATCGATCATGTCTGATGACGTTAACGTCTTGGAAGCGCTCGTTTCGACGACGCCACACCCTCCTACGTCTGTCCAAAAAATCAACAGTGAACCTTGACTCATCTGAAAACATCACATTGCTCCAGCGTCGATTATCCCAGTGTTGACGATCCCTACACCAACGACGTCTTGCCTGAATGTGATGATCTCTCAAACAAGGGATCACGCGAGGACGTCGGGCGCGAAGGTGACCCCTATGCAGTCGATTCCGAATCGTCTGGCCACTCACTCTCACACCAGTGTCTATTTGAAGACGAGCGCTGATCTGATTTGCTGTGATGACACGATTTCTCAAGGCCAAGGTACGGATAAATCGATCCTGTGCTTGAGTTGTCGCCCTTGGTCGACCTGAGCGTGGTCTGTCCTGTACAGATTGTGTATCACGGTATCTGGACCATAGCCTGCTTATGACAGACTGAGAAACATTCATCGTCCGCGCCACAACCGCCTGTGTTGTGCCGATCTGTAGCATGCCAAGGGCACGTAACCTTTCATTTTGGGTAAGCCGACGCATATCAAAATTTGTTTTCTGGTCACTAAAACAATTAAACTGATGTTTCCACCCTGGAATTCAATGCCACAATGACTGTAACATTCAAAGTCAGAGTCGTGCAAATCTTGGGTTAGACCCCCATGATGATCCCAAGCATCACCTGCATTCCATGCGGTAGCTATTGGTGCGTTTGGGCGTCACATGTAACTGGAAATGTTTCTTCTGTTAGGTTCTATAGTGACTTTTTTCGTAGTCATTTGCATATTTTAGTATTATGCCCCCAAAATCAAATATCCCCTACTTTTTTTGAATAGTATATAAACAATTAAGCTGATTGGATAACTCGTAGTCACATTGAGTTTGATTGACAGCTAAGGCAAGCTACAGTTAATTGGCGTCGGTAAACAGAACAATGAAAGGCTATGGACTTATGACTTGGTGTCTGTTATTATAGCGAGAGAGAGATGGGGTTTAACGTCCACTCGACACAAACTAGGTCATTTCGGGACTAACATATGGTTCAATTTTATTTCAATAATTCGCTTGCGCGTAGGGGTCTTTAGCAGTGGGAGGAAACCGGAGGACCCGGAGAAACCCCACGAGGCTGGACAGGCGACCCTACTCCTTGTCACGTACAACCGGGGATTGTTATTATAGCAAGCCGAGTAAATAGGCGTTGGTAATCAGAACAATGAAACCTTATTATTAAGAGTCACACAGCTTAACTCTAGACAATATGTGTTAATACCTGTTAAACTTAAATCTTATATCATCTAATGTGTCTAAAGGCACGTCGAGTATACCAGTTTGTACAACATATTACATAATACTATGTCAGAAAACCCCACCTCTGTTACAGATTAAATCTTACAATTAATCTGTCACTTAACATGTCCAAAGTAAAATATAAAATTAAAATATGGAATCAAATACAATATTAAAATTTAGATCCCAAATGATATTGTATTACAAGAGTTGAGTGGCCGAGTGTTTTACCTATGCACAACAGTGTCGTGGTCTCTCGACCCCAGCCGTACCCCGTGGGATGTCTCCAGGTTTTCCGGCCCCACCCCTCCCCGTACACTGTTGGAAACTACTGGAAATAAATACGTTAATGAAATAATGATACGTTAGTAAAACCATGTATATATATAGTATTACATATTGAGACAAATGACCATTCATTATGCCAGCAACATCAAAATCGACAATATATAGTCTTTGTCTTCATTACGATGCTAATCACGAACGTCCATTATTGAAGAGGTTTGTAAATGAGTCCCTCGTTTATATTAATTATTTATATAAAACACAAGATAACTTTTCTTTTATCTTTCTGTTTTAAGCTATATTAAGTCATGTATTACTGTTCATCCGACTATTTCATTCCATAATGTGGACATTAATCTTCAACATGGTGGTAATCTGCTATATTTCAACACAAGAGGACTATAAGCTTACAGCGCGAATCAGCTTATTACTAGCATTCGAATAACTATGCTGATTCCTTGAAGATTTTATTGGAAGTAATTAAATGAAGGAGACAGAGATAAAGCTAATCAACTTAGCCCCGTAGAAAACCTCTTAATTCAAAGAAATTCTAATAAGACTACTTCAACTAATTTATTTTTTCTTTAGGTTTTGCAATCATTGTGTTATTGTTTTAGTCAATATTTACACTCACAATATCAATATGCCAAATATAACGTGATTCTATAATTTGATAAAGTTCAGGTTAGGTAGACTTTATTTAGTTTGGTATAATATACAAATAAAGTCCATTTTTATAGAAATTACATTATAAAAAGCCAAATCCAAAATGACTCTTTCCCGAACACTTGAATAATTATACTAGGTTCATTTGTGAGTACTCGAGATGTCTTGTGACATGTTCTTAATTATAGTGGGCTGGTTTGTATTTACCCTGAATAAATGCTGGAACTTTGAGATTTTTTTTATCTTTATTTGTGTTTCACTGTAATTGTAATGGTTTTTTTTGTCATACATTATGACGTCTTGGATTGCCTGCATGTGTTGTTCTGCCTGCGGGGAACTTAGACTTTTAGACTCTGATCAGTTCCTGGGTACTGGATATGAAAATAGACTCAGTAATGTTAAATATACTGATGACAATTGGCAGTTGAAATTCTATATAAGAGTAAGCCGTAGCGACGCTGACCGGCCAATATTTCCCCCATAGCACACTGTATGGCGTATGTCCGTCTTCATTAGCCCAGTCTGAGCAGAACCGTAGGATGTTAAACCCCATTTCATTTCATTTATCCCCTATGTACAGATATATTATATTTATAGACTATAAAAACATGTACGAGCGTATAATCAACTTATAATAAAAATTTCATCTTTGTGACTTCCTATTAGCTAGTGTTAAGTAGCTATTTCCAAATCTTAGACCTCCCCACTAAGAGATGGTATTTAATCACACTGCCTTGTCCTTTCTTCATCATTAGATTAAAGGTTAAACAATTTCTCTTTTAGATATGTTTTCAGACGTTTAAAATATTTAAAGTTTAACAAACTCCCTGTGAAAATTTATCTAGTGACATTGCTGACAGTTTAAAATTTAATCACTGCAAATCCCACCTAATATAGTCTACACCTGGTGTCATTGGTCATTTTTGTATTTCGTTAGTGGGGAAAAAGATACTGACAGAGATATTACGATGTATTGTATAGTCTACATACCATTGATTGTTACGACCGAACGCAATTCAGTATGGAACTGGAAATATGTACTGTTGTCTAGCGTGTATATTTGTTATTCCTATACAAACAGCGTTTAATTGCAGACCCCCAATGTCATGTGGATACTAAAGACTCGGGTATATCATTCATATACAACACAGTAGTCAATAGATATATGTAGACCAATTATAACAGATATAGAAAGACAGATATGTAAATACGTAAGAAGTAAATCGCCTAATCAAAATTAATAATCGTGATAAATAGTTGAGTTGTTGAAGAGAGTTTCATAAAGAAAATGAATATATAGTTAAGCACCATGACAAATGAATTGACGGTTGCTATAAAATAGGTTCCTTATAAATACGGGAACCAATGTGAAGTGATACTTTTTCGTCAGTTTTCACTCGACCTCCATTCCATGCACAAGGAACCCGAGGCAAAACTGATGCAACACAGTAGAATTTGTAAATGATGCAATTTAAATGAAATAGAAGATGAGTACCACCATATATTAACACAATTTATATCAACAATAATTTGTATTTTATTGGGCATTTAGGATAGATTGTACATATTTATTAACATATTGTACATTTGATTATGTTAACTTATGAAATTCGCTTATGTGAACGTTTGCCCAGGTTGTATTAAATTGTGATTTATGTTTTTTGATCCGATGATAAAAGTTTTCGATGGAGCAAAGGCAATTCTTGGTCTGAATTATAAATTCTTGTAATTATTAAAATTAAATATGCACTATCTTGGTTCGTAATAAGGTACATGTACTTTCAAGTTGGCAAATGGCTAACTAATGAATGATCCCGTCGTCTTTAGTTGAAGATTAACGAATGATTCTTGATATCAGCCATTATTATTGAGGAGGCCAATGAAAGCGCAATGCCACCCAACTATAAGGCATCAATTCGGCATGTTGACTTTATGTCAAGTTTAAACATGTTTGATTTTGCTCTGCTCTGTAGTCTAAACTTATACGTTCGTTCGTTACTAGAGTTTTACGTCCACTTCCACCAAGAGTGATGTCGTAGTCACTGCCATAATAAGTTTCTCGGTTAAACCATATAGAACTAAATGCCTGTGCCATAGTTGGTCTATCTGATAAAAGCTGCTTGATTCCTTATCATCAACGTGTGAATTGTATTTTCCTAAGTTCCTATCTATCTGATATATACTCTTCAAAAAAAGTAGGGGATTTTGAAATGCAAATACCTATGCAGGTTGTGATATGATAAATAGTCATGGAAATTTGACATGCTTTGAGGGTATGTTCACAGATGAAGAACTTATCGCCCCAACAGAACCACTGAGCTGCAGGTGCGACACGCAATAGCGCCATACACGTGGGAGGGGTTCATTGTCAAATTTGACACTTCAAGGAAGGGTTGATGAAAACTGCCGTTTGCTGGTTTATCCTATCCATGTTTGCTTTCCTATCGGTTCTTGCATAAGATTTACTGTTTAGCGTATCTTTGTTTTAGTGTGTTACGTTTAATTTGATCGGGAGACGTGTTCGTCGACGTCAACGTCAACCGACAACACTGTAAGAATTGGCCGTGTCACTGCAAGAGGAGTGGGTCAGATTGCCCCAAATCGTGATTGGACGGTTGATTAGGAGCATGCCATGACGAATTCATGAATATCTGAGGATTGGTGGAGCAATTACTCATTATTAAGACAAAAATCAAAAACGTCCATTTTCACTTTTCACAGTGTATCTATTTGCGAGTGAAATGGGGCCGTCAGATAAGCCACCCATATGAACTGTTTGTGTTCATGTGTAGGCAATTGGCCTGTTATTAACATACACTGATTACCTCTAATAAAAACAGCAGTGCATTTCCGCAGTTTTGTATTGTTTCTGAATATCCCCTACTTTTTTTTGGAAGAGTATATTATCTGTTGTGTTGACATAGTTTTTTTCTCGATCAGAAAGTGCCTAGAAAACACTTCTGCTAAATTAAATAATAAAATAATTTATATATATATATATACATAAAACTATGTCCCAGATTGAATGAGAGTGCTGTTTTATTACGTCATCCATACAAGAGTGATCCAATTTTTCTAAACATTTAAGCAGGAACGACGTTTATAAACAAAAAAAAAAAACAAAACAAAATAATCAGGACAGTCTTCAAATATCGTAGAGTGAGCACTAAACAATTCATAGGTTTAATATCCACATCAAAGTTGATAAAAAAAAAAAAACCCAACCTACTGGATTTCAATACTCGAATAAAGTGTTCAACCCAGCTTGATAAACAACTATGATCATACACTGACATCACTGATAAAATAATTGAGGAAATGCTGTGGGTTTTTCAGAACCGACCAAACACACAGTTGATAAGCTATATATTTATGTAGGAAAACGTAATACAGTGTACAAATTTAGTAATTGTTCACTCGGTTAATTATCCGAATTTCATTTGCAAGGGCAGTTTTAATGTACATTTCGCTTATAAACACACAATAATATTTTGTAATGTCGTATCCATTATAGTTTTAGCGATGTAAACAATTTTAGAATTTTATGACGTAACACTATACAACAACACAACATCCATTCTCTTCCATCCTTCTAATGGACAATTAATAAAACAAGATGGCAACCAGAAATGGAACAAAACCAAAAATAAACTGTTTCCGGGCTAAAAACACGCCATCATTTACCCACATACATGGTATATAGTTGACTATTACGTTTCATAATGTCTACGCACGGTCCTAGCAATCGTTCAAAACACTCACGTTCTAAAAATGCTACTTTTACTTTGCCAACAGCGTATACGTTAGCTGTTCTAGGTTTATTTTCTATAAGTGCGAGTTCACCAAAATAAGTTCCGGTTGAGCGTGTGGCTATTTCCTGTTCACTACCTTCCGGATTGTCAATGGTGATGCGAATATGACCGTCTTCCACAAAATATATGCCATCAGCATCATCACCCTGTTTGATAATTGCTTCACCCTCTTGATAAACTTTAGGATGTAGTGCATCGGCGAGAGTCATGCGCTCGTATACATCTAACGACTGTAAAATGGTCACATTTTCTAGAAGTGTTTCATATTTCTTTCGTTTCTTAAAGGCACTTTTAAGCACAATTCGTCTGAAAGAATTTCTATCCATGGCCCATAACGTTCCAGCGGAGTCGGCTATGACGGTAGCTGATCGAGGCATGTTGTACATTAACGCTAGTTCACCAAAACTTCCACGATTGTCAAAAGTGTGAACTTGTTTTTCAGAACCCTTAATATTGACAGACACGTCATAAATACCATCATCAATGACGTAAAAGTTATCACCATCATCTCCTTGTCGTATGACCGTTTCGCCCGGTTTTACCTTTTTCTCAAACATAGCATCAATCACTTCCTGCATTTGATCGGAATCTAACGAACGAAACAACAAAATACCACTGACTGCCTCAGTAAGACGTTCTCTTTGCGCATCGGTTTTAGGGTGCACGACTCTGTCTTCGTCGTCGTCATCCTCTTCGGGATCGTAACGTTCTGCGGAAACGCTCTGGCGCCGGGCGTATCGATTTCTCGTGTTTTTTGGTTTAAACATTTCTGGATCTGGTTCGCCCGCTTCCTCATCACTGTCCACTATGATGTACATTGGTACTTCTTTGGGTCGCCGAGTTTCTCGAGCTCTGGTGAAATATTCTACAGCGAAGTCATATAGATCGCCTGGTCGTTCTCGTAATACCGATACAGTAAAGTCTCTGAGTAGATCACCCAGACCGTCTGGGATTTCAAGATTCATCTTGCTTTAAATTGCTTCAGACAATAACAAACAGGCGAGCATGAATAGAAAATAATGTCTTCAATAACGACCCACGTGGCATGCACTCAGGTTTACACGCAGGTCTGTTTGCCTTGGTAGTTTCCCTTCGATATAATCAATTAAATTAATCTGCTAGTGGTGGCCAGACTCGACATGATAAATATTTTATACTCTTGTAGTCCACTCCACTACAGAATCACACACATACACACTTCCTATATATCTAACCAGGTGTAACCAATCAAATTAATTGAAAGGTAATGACGTATGAAGACGTAGACGTAATCTATCTGGCTGGCTTTTTAAAACAGTTTGTGCCATCCATTTAAAGGTGTCTGTATTGTAGAACCTGTAAAATATAATAAAAGCACGCTCTATTAAACAGCTTTTTAAATAGAAAACCTTTTTGCTAATATATATTACACTACAGCATAATAAACCGCCGCTAACCTTTTGTTTCGTCATCCAAACGTAAAAAAGCTTAGAGACATGTAATGATATACAGCACCCCTGTTCAACAAGAGATAAGCCTAATCTTATCAGTTACTAGAAAACACCCGTCAGTTATTAAACTATTAAGTTTGTCCATGTGATATGGTTTAGATACTTATAATTTGATGTGGGTTTTAAAGCAAGGGTTTACATAGTTCCCAGTTATACCATTTTAATTATTTCTTATACTTATATGCTGACGACCACCAAAATAAACTATACCACGATATTCAGAGACAATTGATTAAACTCATTTGATATAGTTGCCTTTAGGTCACATTTAAGACCAATTTCTCTCCCTCTATATCCATTGTCTAAATTATAAAGACGTCCAAATACTAGTATGGTTTTCTAAGCACGATTTAGATATTGCTGTATTGATATATAACAATATACAACAAAAATGACAGTGCAGAAATAATTAGTTCGCAATGGATGTTGTATTTGCGTGTCTCAAATAATATGTATGAACCGGCGCGTGTCCAGGGGGTGGGGGTGGGGGAAGGGCTAAATCTGCCAATTGCAGGGCTTTCTTTAGGCCTGAAATGTTATCTAAATTATTAATTAGACATTAATCAACTTATCCAGACCATAATCAACTCTCGATGGCATCGCTAGCCTGCGATATTTACTGGATTAGAACATGGTCTGCTGCTGCTGATTAAATAAAAAAATGGATAATCGAGACAAAACATCCTACCGATTTAGCAATGATGATAGAGGCTAGGCCCAAAATTAAATCGCTAAATTCTCAGTTCAGGGTGGATCGATTTGACTGAAAGTTTCAGAAAATTCCCGTTACATTATCTAGTTTTAACTATTATAGTGAGAACTGTCACCTCTTTATCTAATCTCCCATAATGTATCTTTAATGAGCAGAAATATTGTCTCAGAACTTCCGATTTTTAAAAAATCATCTGGTAATCTCCCGGACTTCACACAAAACTTGACGTTTTCTACACCCCAGACTAAAATACCTGGACACGCTCCTGATAAATTGAATAATTACTCTGAGTGATATTTCAAAATTGAAATCTATTTGTAACTATATCCTACACTTAAAAATGACATATTTGGTGACTTGCGTAATATGATAATGTCAACAGGACTTTTACTTCATAAAATCGATATTCCCTTTAAGGGCAAATACTGTTCAAAAATAAATAGTTTAGCCATCCATTGGTCTACCACCTGGCATTCACAAACTTCTATTCAAGTAAGTTATAGTCGTTTTAGCCTTTAGTTATTTCCGTGGCAGCGAATGGCTGTGATTTAGTTATCCAGTTTAAAATAGAAGTTAATTAAAGCTTGTAATATGAATGTTGTCAAAAATCGATAATTCTTTATTAAAAAAAAAACTAATAAAAAACCCCATTGTATTGCATTTCAACAAACACGTCATACGTTTGTCGCATACGACTGTTTGACTTTTTAGCCCCCGTTATTATATTATGTACTAGCATAATAATAGTAGAATTGATGTTCTCAACGTATATACATTGTACTTGAGTTTTGCCATTGTCCTATGTAACATACACTGTTACGGAACGGGATGTTTTAACAGGATACTGTATATGGTAGATATAGTCATGAAAACATGTATATAATATGAAGAATGTCAATATATGGTTGTCATTATAGTTCAACCTATTGTTTATTATTTACATTGGCAATGAAATCTTAAAGTACCGCTTTGCATAACACTACAGAATTAACTTATTGTTCATGGCGTCTTCAATTTTATGAAATGAAATGAAATGGGGTTTAACGTCCTACTGTTCTGCTCCTAACCTGGGCTAATGAAGACGGGCATACGCCATACAGTGTGCTATGAGGGAAATTTTGCCCGGGCAGCGGCACTACGGCCTACTCTTATATCGAATTCCAACTGCCAAGGGATCTTTTACGTGCACGCCAATGTGTACACGGGACCTCGGTTTTTCGTCCCATCCGAACGACTAGACAGCTTTCCTTGTCAGCCCCTCCGTCCTGCATCACTGACAAGGGAGAACCACGCCGGAAAATCTGGATGAACTTTCTCGGCCAATGCAGGGATCGAACACCCGACCTCCAGGCCTTCAATTTTATAAAGGGGTGGTTTTTGAAAAAAGACAACCTATTCTCGATAGGGTAAAACGTCACATTTTGAGACGTGGCTTTCATTTGCGCAAGTTGAAACTAGCCTTAAGGATGCATTATATAATCAACTCTCTAGGTCATCGGATATCTGAGATTTTACATAGATTAGAACATCCACAATTTAAAGCTAAAATGCATAATCGAGACTTTGTTTATTTTCATAGAAATGTTACTTGACAATCGAGATTAGGCTACATCTGGCCCCGAGTTCACAAAGCATTCTCAGACTTAAGTTAAGATCTTACTCTAAATTTTCTGTCTTATTTTAACTAAACTATAGCCCTTTATAAAACTATTTTTGTTTTAATGTACCAAATACATCAATAAGAAATTATGTGCAAAGTTTTGTGTTTCTGGATCAAAGATATTTCTCATAAACAGTGATTGAAAGATGAGTAAATTCTTAAATTAAGTCTGAGAATACTTTGTGAACTCGTGCCAAGGTCAAAATTTCAAAACCTCATAACTTCGCTCAGAATAAAGTAATAATATATTCATTTGTCATTATCTATTTTTGATCTGTTATATTCAGCTCTTCTCTAAATCTTACATAATGCATCATTAACGGCTCTGTGACTAAAATATCCGTATAAAGTTAAATAAATAGTTGGCCCCGAGTTCACAAAGCATTCGCAAACTTAAGTTAAGAATTTACTCATAATTGTTCGCCTTATTTTAACTAAACTATAGCCCTTTATAAAACTTTTGTTGTTTTAATGTATCAAATACATCACTGAGAAACTATGTACAAAGCTTAGTGTTTCTGGATCTAAGATATTTCTCATAAACAGTGATTGAAAGTTGAGTAAATTTTTAATTTAAGTCTGAGAATGCTTTGTGAACTCGGGGCTTGGTTTAAGATACATCGTGTATAACCTAATTTCTTGCTCTAGCTATTTTCAGTCAAAACAGAATAAAATGTCTATCCAGCCAGTTTAATCCCAATTAAAACATAAGCCTGTCAATGTTTTAGGTTAGTTCTATAAATCTGTCATGGTATGGCACCGCTTCTGGGTTTCGTTGTCCACGTTCGTATGTTTTTTAATAAACCCCAAACATGTATCCTTAATCCAAACAAGAAGCACTTGAGTTTAGACTTCTAGACTTCCCGTCTTTTCATCAAATCTCTAGACTCTCAAAGTAAAACAAAATATTGACGTGGGGATGAGTGTACCGTTCATCATTAACCACCATCTTGAAACTGCCTTCCAATCAACTGCAGCCGATCCACCGGAAGTCGACATGATTGGCATTCAGGGAAAAGAAATAGGATTTCCGGTCAGCTCGAATGTCAAATTTTCACTGTAACAATTTCCATGCTAATAAAAATAACCTTCGCTGAAAGGAATTGGTTATAGGTTCCGATAATTTTCATAGAAAATAGTCGTTAATTACTTTGTAGTCAAAACAACTTGATCAATATCAACAATCAAACAATAAACCAAAATATAAAGACAACAATTATCAAGTTTGGCATAATTACAAAACACTCAATACAAAGGATAAAGTTAATCCCCTATTTATTTGGGGATCCGTAATATATTTAACAAGTAGAACAATATGTATTTAGCGTTAATTTACTACAAACTATGCCCCGTGTAGTCGTATAACACAATGTTTACTTTCAGATTATCTTAGTGTAAATAAAGACTGGAAATAAAATTGTAAATGGAGTAAATATTGAACAAAGAATATCGTTGATAATTATATATCACTGTGTTTATATAACACCTGTTAAGGCGTTAATAAAGTTGAAGAATCGAAATTCGTGATAATACCATTATATTCTAACACACATTTATCAAAAGAGCAAAATATTTCAAATTAAAATGACTTTCAGACCATACACCATAGTCTTACATACATGTATATTGGTCCAATCGATCAATCCTTACATAAGGTCTATTGATTCCACGACCGCACTCAGCCTCCGGTCTATAGTAACTCCACCTAGAAATATCATTGTCCTCAGTGTGGACAATGATATTTCTAGGTGGAGTTACTATAGTGAGGACAATGATATTTCTAGGTGGAGTTACTATAGACCGGAGGCTGAGTGCTAGGGCTGCAACAATTCATCGATGAACCGCGATGTTTTAAAAATCGACGATGCACGATACACTCAATAGCCGTATCGCGATTCGTTATCCAAAAAATAATTTCACAAAAATAGACTGATATTCCTTTAAATGTGTAAATAAGTCCATGAGCAAAATAACTTTTTTTTTAATTTCAGCGAGTGTTAAGGCGTTTTCGACACATGAAGTGGCTTATTATAGCTATTTCGTCAACATTAAAATATCAGTCTGCTTAAGGAAGTCGTGGTGGAAATTAAGTTGTGTTCAAATTACACACTTGAATAATACGCGGGGAAAAAAAACATATGACATTAATATATATTTATCTCTATAACTATATGCAAATACAAGCAAATGTCATTGAATACACCCATTGAATAACCTATGGTTGTATTCAGTGACTTGTACACGTACTACTTTTGTCCAGAATGAAGTCACTTTCAGAATTACGTCAAACTGTAATGACGTCGACACTAGCAACCACAATTTTTGTAAAAAAAAAAAAAAGAAAGAAAAAGGGCGGAACCTATGATGAATTCTAACGTTATTGGTGATTTTGTTTTTGACAATGTGAATAGTACAGTGTATTTTGAGATTTACATGTAGTCAGAGAACTCAATGACCATTGAATACCGCTCGG